GACCAGTGGGGAGGAGACAAGGGAGAGTGAAGCGGATGTCAGCAGTGAGTTGTTCCTGGATGCACGCCATCGAAGAGTTACTAGGCGTCAGGAACAGTTGCGCAAGTACAGGGGGTAATTGCACTCAGCTGGTGGTCATTAGGCTCCTCTCCAGACTATAAAAAGACTGCTTGTGCACACACCCCTCTTGCAGAAGTCAACGCAGGAACTAATGTTGGAGAACATTATTGTGAGCTTGGTAGACTGGATTGCTGCCAAGGCTTATCTGTGCCGGTTTGCTGCCAAGGACCTGTCTGTCTGTTAATTAAATGCCGTAACTTATCTTTGGCTCGGAGTCTTTGTTGGTGTGGGACGAGGGGGGTCAGAACAGGAAACCAAACCTGCACGTCAGATCATGGAATAAGTCTGGGTGGAGTTGCCACTCTGCATGATCTAGTTGTCTGACTCAGCCAATCTGCCTCAACGTTCGCTGTTCTGGAGATGTAACATGAGATTCTGCCCACAGGCAGAGCTTTTGTGCTTCTAACATGAGCGTCCTGGAATGTGTGCCCCCCTGCCGGTTGATATGGGCCTTGGTGGCCACATTGTCTGTGAGAACCAATATGCCACCCCGCCACCAGGTCCAAGAACAGCTTAGGGGAAGGAATGACTTCCTGTTCCAGAACCAGTTCAGAAACAGGCAGTCAGTGGAGTCAAGCCCCAGTGAGGGTTCCACCGAGTTCCCTTGCTGCCCATGTTGGCTGTGGCCCTTGCCCTCCGAAGAAGCTTGGAGTCAACCCCCTGCAAAATGGCCACAGAAATGAAGTCCCTGCTTTCCCTAGGGAGGCCCAGAAGCTGTCCATCCTCCCTGCAGAGCTCCACTACTGTGGGGAGTACCTGGCCTCGGGGGTAGAATGCCTGACTTGAGAAACCTGAGGAAAGCTCAAGCCCGATGCACCTTGAGTCAGTGCCCAGATCCACATCCTCAGTGGACAGCCCCTGTACCTGAATATTGTCAGGGGACCAGTCCGTGGTGGTTCCCAGGCATGGAGGGGATCCCTGGATCGAAAGGGAGGCAATCCCTCCAATTGCAAAGGCGGGGGGATCTGGCGGTTCCTGCTTCTTTTGAAGCCTTGGAGGATTGTTTCTCCAAGGCCCTTTGCCTGCAGCTGATTTGGATTTGGATCTGCTGGCCGTGCCTACCCTGCTCCAGGATGGCGCTGCTAAAGGCAAGCACCTGGGGGAACCTCCTCCCCAGTGGCTGGGACAGTTCCACGTTGTGCCATATTAAGCTTAGAGCTCCCAGTGATGGGCCAAGGCAAACCTGCAACCAACACTCCTGCGATCTTAGCCGCCCAAGCAGAAGTGCCATTCAGTGGGATAACTGCGCGAGGCCAATAAGGGAGCATTAGAAGATCATGAAGATTCAATTCTCGAGGCGCAAGAAAACAACCCCATTCGGAGGTGACTCAGCGAGATTGCAAGCACGCTGCTGACCTCTTCGCTCACAATGAGGTTCGCGGCCACAAAATGGCAGGAGCTGCATAATGGCTCATTTGGTGCCAAGGAAAACAGCCGGGAAATTCAAATTGCGGCCAATAGGCTGAACCGCTGCGGCCATTCTCGGCGCTACTGACGCCCATGCAGGCAAAAGGAAGGTGACAGGAAGATGGTGGACCAAGCTTCAAACTGCACTGAAACCAGACCAAACTCTTCACAGAACAGTGGAACTTGAGAACGGCAAACTGAATTCACAGCTCCCGAGCCAATTAGGTAGCGGTGAATAGGCTAGCCCGAGCGATCAGGCAATAACACCCCGGCTGCAGTTCTCGGCCGCACAGAAGGTGCTCCTGGTGGTGGTTCTTTCCGGCAGACTGGGGAAAACCAGCGCACCCATGATTGCAGCCCACAATAAAACCAACTTTCTAATTCAACTGAAAAATGACCTGCTGCGCTGCAAAGACAACCCAAAAGTTGAACCCAAAGAATGCTAAAATTGAACTGGAGAAAACTTGATTGCGTCTCTGTAGGCAGACTGAATTGAAAAACTGAGCTGCTGAGTGGAGGAGACGTGGCCAAGTTTTCTTCAATTCAGCCTCTGGGCAAGCAGATCGTAATTAACCCATTATGTGGATACTCTAAGCAGTGCACTGGAGAAACTAACTTTGATTCTTCGGATGATTATTAGCCTCTATTGTTTTTCTGCTCTGTGGGTTAGTTTTTTTCTGAATGTTCATTTTCACCTCCTCTTTATTTTACTTTTAAAATGTAAGCTATGAATTGGAAGAGTAGAGTAGATAGAGTTGAATATAAAAGCAAACATAATATGAAAGTGTATTTTTCCCTTAGTATAATATTAATCACTAATTTATAGGACATTATTCACTTCATTAACTGATCACATTATTCTCCTCTGGTAAGATATAACTATGGTAGTTACAATTTGAACAGAATATGCAAATTATGATTACCCATAATACACATGTATTTATGCACACATATAGACACATACAAATTGCAATGTGAAAACTATACGTGGCATTCTAGAATAACTGAAAATCTCAAAAAATATGAAGAATTTAAAACTTACAATTCAAAAACCATATATAGCATTCCATCAGAACTATAGGTCTCCAGAAGTTCAACAATGTGAGGATGTTTCAGCATGTGACAGATACTTGCTTCCCTCTTCAGATCTGTTTGAAGACAGTAATTTCTGTATCATTACACATCATAACAAAAGTAACAAGGATGGTATATTCCTAATTAAATTCTTATAATTAAATATTTGCTGTAACATTAGTTTTAAATGCTTACAAAAGTTTTGACAATTGAATATTATATAACAATATAGTTATTTTATGGCAACTCAATATATAATACACAATGACATAATATAAATATTAACTAGCACATGTATAAGAAATTAAGAAGATACTGTATTTTTTGTTCCATTACTTTTTTTGTCCCCCAGAAGCAGGTGGAAATGATTGCATCTTCTGGAGCGAATATTGCATCACAGACCAGGCCGCAGCAATGGGGAGAGAGGAGTTGGTGTAGTGGCAACGACAGGCAGCAGTGGTGAATGGCCTGTTGCTGCCACCTCCTATCGCCACCTATCGGCGGTTGGATCAGCCTCCTGGAATACCACCAATTAGTGATACTGCGTGGCGAACAGTGATCCCCACCACCTGTAACAGCTGATCGGCAGTATTCCGAGAGGCTGATCCAACTGTTGATAGGCTGGTGGCAGCAATAGCTGGGGAATGCTGGTGAAGGCTCCAGTGTTCCCCAGCAGAGGCAGCAGACACAGAGGAGGCAGCAATAGAGCAGTTTCTGGTTGGCCAGCCTGCTGATTGGAGTGGAGCCCTGACGAGCAACGTGCTGGGAGGCAGATTTTTTGTTTACCTCCCCAAACCTGGGTGCGTTTTATGGTCTGGAGTGTCCTATGAAGCAAAAAATATGGCCTTTCTAAGAAAAAGAGCCATTAGTATTCTTCAGTGAGTTCTATTTTTTTCTATTTTTTTTCAACCCCTAGCAGAATAAGATATTTTCTGGTTTTGTTCTTTTCTAGCGCATCAGTTATTTTAGCTATCTATGCAACATATATTTCTACATCTAAATGGTTGTTGTTTTACAGTGTAAGGTAGTTCCTGAATTACAATAATTTGTTTAGTAACCATTCAGTTATAATGGCACTAAAAAAAATTAGTTATGGTGGTCCTCACTCTCATGACTGTCCTAGCATCTCCAAGGTCATGACAAAAATTTGGGTGCTTGGCAACTTGGATGTATTTTATGATGATTGCAGCAACCTGGGTCATGTGACCTTCCCAATAAGCTTCTGACAATCAAAGTCAATACAGGAAGCTAGGTTTACTTAACAAAAGTGGCAAAAAAAGCTTGCAGTTAACTATCTTTCTTAGCAACAAAATTCTGGTCCCAATTTTGGTTATACAAGTGGGGGCTACCTGTACACATTTATACAGATACATGAATTGCTGGAATATCACAGATTTGAATATTCAATCACAATCAATTTTTAAGTAACCAGAGTTCGGTAGCAATACAGTGACTTCTCTCCTTTGTAGTTTTCAAATACTTGGAAATATCTTATTTTACTTCCACCACAATCAACATCAGCCATAGCACCGGTGCATTTTCAATAATCCAACTGCTCTGTACAAATCCAACCTTGTATCAGTTCTGGATATTTGGGAGAAGATACAGGTAGTCCTCAACTTATGAACATTTGTTTAACATCAATTTGAAGTTATGACAGCACTGAACAAAGTAATCCTAAAGTTACAACTATTGCACTATTCTCATGGTCACATTATAGTGACTTAGGCACTTGGCAACTGGCTCACATTTATGATGGTTGTAGCATCCTATATGCCAGGGGATCACAATTTGTGAACTTCTGAGAATTTCTGACAAGCAAAGTCAATGGGGAATGTAGATGTGCTTAACCGCATGATCTGCTTAATGGCCATGTGAATTAGTTAACAGAATTTCCTTCTTTGTAGGGGGGTGGGAGGAAGATTGCTTGAACAAGCTATCTCTTCGTAAACTGCTTTTCTTTGTCCTGATTAATTAATTAGCATCTTTGTGGCTTGAACTGCTATCTGAAATTGGCACGAATTCTAATCAATTTTATTCCAAAAGCTTCCTTTTGTATCCTAAGAAGCCAGGAGCACCATGCCAAGGCATTCCTTTCAATGTGTATTCCCCATTGTTTCCTTGCTTACCGGTATTCTTTTGTAATCTCTTCTTTTCCAATGAGTATAATACAAACATTGTTTCCCCTTGCTAATTCTCCAGAACCAAGCTGAAGATTCCAAAGGGTGGGGAGAGTGGGGAAAACGTTTAGATGATTTACACCTTTTTCCCCAGCTCCCTCATGAGTTATGTTTCAGAACATGAACTTTCCCTGCCTTTAGGACTCACCCAGCTGACTGGGTCGTATCCTGCTGATATTGTAAGTATTTAGGGATAATTTATTAAGTAAGCTTTTTAAAACTTTATTAAAATCCTGACGTTTCTGTTGGTGTTCTTCTTTGATATCCATTCTGCAAATTCTAAATTAAATGTTGTCATACAAATTAACACACACAATATATATCCAGGATTCCTGTTTCAAAGAGATTAATGCAAAATAAGATAATGCCATAATCAAGGGAGTAATATAATAGGCATTAATCCACAACTGAAAGATGTGTAACTACTAGTACTGTTATTCCTTCCATGAATAAGGTTGTAATTGCCAAATATGATAATCCAAAACTAATTCATTTGTTCATTCATGCTTTTTTTTTTTAAAAAAAAAAAACTATGTTCAATTAATTAGGCTTTTCTCAGAATTTTGTGATAGCCAACTACTGCAATTTACTTATCTGTAAATGATGCCATTGACTACTGAAATCTTTTGATAGTCTACAGTAGTTACATTTTAATCTGTTAAACCAAAAGGATTTAAACTACCAAGTTCTTATTCAAAACGATTTGTTTCAAAAAAAGCAATAAAAAGATAACCGTTGCAATTCATCAGGAATAGCATTTTCAGAATCCTATGATGTTCCTTAACTAAAGTGATTCTATGTGGTTGGTATTTGGCAAAGACTAGTAAAGCAGCTATGAATAATTTGCAGGGAGAGGAGCTTGACATCGCAGTGAAACGACGGACTTTCCTGGAGCTCCGGGATTGCTGCCAAATTCCAGTCGCCTTGACGGTCCAACTGGACCTAAATCGTCCTGTAGAGTCGGTGATAGGTAGGTATACCCTGTCGATCCCAGAGACACATGCAAAGTCTCTGGTGATCCGGGAAAAAGCCCCTCTTGCCAGTGACTAAGAGTCATCTATTAGGCTGCTGGAACTGCTGACAGTAACACAAGGGCAGGAGAGAAGCATGTCATTTTGAAAGTTTTAATTTTTTTTTATTGGAGAGAGAACACCCTAAATCTGGAGATTTAATTAAAAATAAAGACTGATGAGAGAGTAAGAGGCGGATTTAAGGCATGGTCAATTGAAGGTTTTCTTTTTTCCCTTTTTACTGCTGGAAGCCTGATTGGATTTATATTGTAATTCACTTTTTAAATTGGACTGGCTCTTTGCGCTTTTTAAACTTTCTTTATTGGACTCTTTGGAATCATTGGTACAATAAAGTTTTAACAAGAGATTAAAGATTTTTATCTTTTTATTTTTTTATATTATTGTATATTTTTCCTTTTTCTTCTTTTGGCTTTTTCTGTTGCCCCTTAACTCCTGTTTATTATTTTATTTTTTGACCTCCCCATGGTCACTTGGGATTATAATCCCACCCCACCCTAGGCGAATTAAAGCACAAAAAAGATGAGTAAAAAAAATAACAACTGTTGGCTCTGCAACAACAACCCCCTCCTCTTCACCTGCAGGAGGACAAAGATCAATACAGACAATGCTTCAACAGGAAAAAGACAAGGGAGTAACATTAGAGGTGATTATTCAAGGAATACAAAAATTACAAGCAAGAGCAGAGAGCATTGAAAAGAGAACAGGAACCATTGAAAAAAGAACAGAGAACATGGAAAAGAGAATTGAGACATAGAACAATGAACAGAAAATATAGAACAAAAGACAGGTAAAACAGAAGAAAAAATTGAAAATATTCAACAATGGTTGATGAAATATGAAGACATACTACAAAAAAATTGAAGAAAAGGATGAACAAAGAGAGAAGAAAATTGAGGACATTGACACTAGATTGAGTATGGTGGAAAAAGATAACAGCAGAATATTCGGACGGGAGATGGATTGGTCAGAATTTTTCTTAAGATTTCAAAATATAGAAGAAGAAAAAGGAGAGAACCTGGCACAAATAATATCAGAAACCCACGAGAAGATGATGGATGGTATAGACGAGGCGTTTTGAGTTTACACAAGTTATGCAGCAAGAAGTGCTCTCCTGAGGGAAGATTTACTAAGAAAATAATCAAGTCACAAATTCTACAGAAAACAAGAGATAGGAAACTAGAATATAAAGGCAAGGTGATTGTAGTTTTGAAACAAATTCCAATAAGAGTGAGAGAGACGAGAAGAGAATATCAATTCCTGACTAAGATTTTACTTTAAAAAGGTGTCAATTATAAATGGCTTATACCAGAAGGTCTAATATTTGTGTGGCAAGGACAAAGATACAGAATAGATACAACTAAAAAAGCAGAAGCATTCTTCATAGAGCACCTGAGAGGGAAGGCTGAGAAGGCTGGAAAAGAAGAATTATTGGTAGAACTCCAAAAGGCATTTACAGTCGAGACTGGGAAAGTAGAAGGTGCTGTAAGCGGGATTGAAACAGAAGAAGGTGCTTTCTTCTTCATAGAAAATACAAAAGAAGATACATCGATGCAGAACCTCTGGGATACAATGAAGGCCTTCACCACATGTTTGATTAATAGACTATACAAGAAAGAGAAACATAAACAAAAGACAAACTTTTAAAGGTTTAGAGAATGACTATAAGGCCCTTGAAAAAGAGCTACAGAACTCCCCACAAAAAAGGGCATCAAAATAAAAATGGACATAAATAAGCACAAAATGGACCTACTGGAAAAGGAGGAATTAGCACAAAAAATTAGAGGTTTATTGAAAATGCCAATAAACCAGATAGATGGTTGGCGTATAAATTGAAAAAAGAGAGAGAATCAAAGAAAATATTGCAATTAA